TTCATTAGCTGCAGGGACTTTGTTCACCAAAATAACTTCCAATCAAAATCAACATCCAATTAATTTAAAAAAAAAACACTGTGAAGGAAAAGGTTAACAACAGTCCTCTGACCTAATTTTTTTCTTTTACCCTGGACACACACAAAAAAGTGCCTCAATCAGATCCCTTTGCTTATGTGCTAATAACCAAACCTTCTGATAAAAGCATCGTATTTATAAGTAAAAAAGGGAATGGAGAGTACTTCTTATGTGAAATGCTCTCAGCAACTCTCCCAGCTTTCTATTGCTGTGCGAGAAATCACCACGAAGCTTTAGAGGCTTAAAACAATGCTTTGCTCTTATCTGTCATCTTTCAGTGGGTTGCTGTGGCTCCTGGGTGGTTTGTTCTTGGATTCTTAGTGTGATTCTTAGTGCTACAGTTGCAGACATCTGAGAATGTGACTGGATCTCTGAGATGGATTGCCGGGGATGCCAGTTGATAAGATTGAAGTTATAAACTTACATGGGATCTCTCCACATGCAAGCCTTGAGTTTCACAGCTTGACTTAGGGGTCTGTCTCCAGAGAAAGTATTCTAACAGACCCGGGCAGATTAACCTCCCAGAATGTCCTTCTGCTGCATTGTATGAGCCAAAGGCAGCCCAAACTCAGCAAAAGGAGAAATAACTCCTACCTTTTAACAGACACTAAAATGGTCACTTTGCAAAAACAGCAAATGGGTTGGAAGATATCATGAGAACTTACTTTTTTCTTCCACTGAAGAATATGTCTGATCTATCTGTGTTGCATATTGTAAATTAACCTGGTCTTTATGGATTGATGGGGCATGACTGGAGACTGTTACATGAGCTGGGAAATTAGTGGCATTTAATAGCTCTGTATCCATTCTTATCCATTTACCTTACAAGGTAAATTTGAACCAGCATTTTTTTTTGTGTGTGTGTGTGGTATGTCATGTGTTCCTCTTTATTATTGTTACTTATTTTTTTCTTTGATGTGACTATTTTTAATTGTGATAAAATATACGAAACAAAAAATTTACCATCTGAACCACTTTTAAGTGTTCAACTCAGTAGAATTAAGTGTGTTTATGTTGTGGCAGCATCAGTTTTAATGAAGGCTAGAGAGAACAATTCTGAGGCACACTGGTGGTCCAGGGAGAAATCATTAAACTTTTATGATCAAGAGCCAGATAATTTACCCATTAGGTTTTGTAGGCCCTTGATCTTTGTTGCAATTTATCAATGTTATTTCGTGTGTGTGTGTGTGTGTGAATTTTATTTTATCTTCTATGTGTATATGTGAATATACCAGAGTGAATTTCCCCATTGTATATATCCACAAGTCAAATAATTAACAAAAAAATTAAAAACTACAAGTAGCAAAAAGTTCAGTAGAGGGAAGAGAAGAAGGAAGTATTTGGGACTGAATTAGAGCAAATTATATTCCATGCTTTATAATTATGTCAAAATGAATCCTAATGTTATGTATAGCTAAAAAGAATCCACTGTGTTGTGGTGGTGGGAGAGGACCCATAGACAACATGTGGACAAATGAGCCTGACTTTGTTCTGATGAAGCTTGAATTACAAAAAACAGGTAGCAGGCAAGATTTGATCCAAGGGCCATAGTTTGCCAACCTCTGTTCTATGATATCTCCAAAGGAAGAATGCTTGTCCTATATCTTGCTATTGAATCATTCGCAAACTTGGTGTCAGGTAAGATCTATAAACTGTTTTAAGTCTGATTCAATTGTGATCTTCACTTAGAGAGTCTCTTAAATATCCCACACCATGCTTATGCACAATATGGGCACTTAATATCTATAAGTTAGCTGGTCTGCAAATATTAATTGAATTCCCGTAATGGACATGGCAGAATATAGGATGGAAACTGAAGTTTAGAACTCCCAATTTTACCCCATATACAGATTGCAGAATCACATTGGTTACACATCCACAATTTTACATAATGCCCTATTAGTAACTGTTGTGAATCTAATGTATGAAATATGATATGTTAAGAGCTTTGTAATGTTTTGAACAACCAATAAAAAAAATTAAAAAAAAACAAACAAAAAACTGAAGTTTAGGATTTTCTCATTCAATGACACCTGAACTGATTGATTGCACTTAGCTACATGCTAATGGAAATGGCAGAGCACATACTTTTCATTGTAAAAGTGGAAGTTTCTATTCAACTTAACTTCATTATTGAGAAGAAATCTAAATTTATTATAGGCTATCTGGAGATCAGACAATACATCTAGCCAACTTTTAAAGTATTTTTAACACAAAAGGAAAATAAGCCTCCTAAGATGTAGTATCCAAAAAAAAAAAAATCCCCTTTTCTACAGCAGGATTTCTACAAATGGAAGCCATGGTATTAGGTTAAGTTTGAAGGCCAATGAGAAGGGAATGAAGTGGGACAGTCTAAGTAGATTGTCAGGAATGGCTCATTGCATAACCAACAACTGTTTTTTTAAATCCTTTGAGAACACTGGTAAATGTAAGATAAATATTAAGACTTCAGTTCCATGGAATTCCCATTCTTCCTTTGAGAGCTTTAATAGAAGTTGTTTTCTAAAGAGGTGAACAGATGACAGTATTTTTAATATGTGTATTTGGGGTAACTAGCAGCTATAAGGAAAGAAAAATAAAAGTTTGTATAGGGAAAATATCTGAACTCTTTTTTTTTGGTGAAGAAAATTTTAGGAAATTACAAAAAAATACTTGAAATTTGACACATACATATAAGCAAAACAAAAGCTGTAAACATATTTTTAGCCCTATTATAAATAAAGTGTTTCAAAGGACAGTGGAAGTTCTAACTTAAATATAGACTCAGAATGTTTCTTTGTTATTTTCTACAAATGTTCCCATTTTGTATTTCAGATAGTGAGACATTCTTAGAGAGGTTAAGTGATCACATTTTAAAAAAGTATGTGGTAGAAATGATGGAAAAGACTTATTTATTTTTCCTAGGGGCTGAAAAGAAAAAATATGCTCAGGGAAATTTTTAATTTTATTTATAATAGGGCTAAAAATTTTTAATTTTATTTATAATAGGGCTAAAAATATGTTTACAGCTTTTGTTTTGCTTATATGTATGTGTCAAATTTCAAATTTTGTTGAAAATCAACAAAAATAACTGCAGAAAATGTTTTTATTAGCTATTCTACCACTGAAGCTTATGTCATGGTGACATGCTAATTCCAGAAAGGAAGAACACAGGAGTATTACATGAACTTCTGGCTTCTTGCTATTCATCTCTATTTTAGAGCAAGAACCCAAGCCTACATATAGACTCAAAGCTGTTGTTCTAGCCATAACTGCATGAATTCAAAAATCCCAGGGCAGGCTCAGATGGCAGGGTAAGGAGACAAAACTGAAGCAGGAAAGAAGACTTAGCTACATGATGAAAAGGAAAGAGGTTTTGTAGCTTCTTGAATAATGCATCAAAGCACAAATGTGAAGATTTTTGGTGTGAATGAGGATCAATACAGGGTTCTCAATGGGAGCACAGTTTGAAGTGTGCATGATTTCTATTTTCCCCAAGTCCAAGTTCCTCAACACAAAACTGGCTACAGAGGAGAGGCAGCAGAGCTCACCTCTTTGGAATCTGCTATACCTTTGGTATTTTTGAGGCTTCAGGGCCATCTTTACTGTTAAATGTAGCATTATGTAAAATTGATTGAATGCAAGTTTTATCAAATGGGTTAGGATATATATATATATATGGGCAGGGAAATGGAGTAGAATTGATGTATTAAAAGGAAAGATAAACATCTTAGTGGAGGAATTACGGAGAACTCCGGAGTCCAGAATGGTGGTGGGTTTTAACTACATTTTGGAAATGTAAAAATCCCACCCAGGGCAGTATGTACTTACGGTGCTTTTGAAAATAACAATAAAGATGTCTTCAAATTGCTCTGCACTCCAGGGGTGGCCTGTGCTGTGCAGAGATGCATGTCCTACACCGAGTTCTGGCAGGCAGAACCGCAGCCTTGTTATGTTTGACTGTATGGTGTGGACCCAGGGCCAGAGGGGTTTCCTGTTGGGGGCTTGTTGCTTGAGTTTCCCCAAGAAGTATGCAAAAGGCTAAAATGAAATACAATCTCAATTTGTCTTTTCAACTAAAGCAATCATAGATCTTTCACAAAGATGTTTTCTGTCATGCTCTGCTTGTCCCAACCTTTCTGTGCTCCTGGCTTCACTGTGGGATGAAGCTCAATTATCTATTCTGCTTATGCGATGCACTGTTTTTTTTTTTTCCCCAATCCATTTTCTCTTCATCCTCCTCCCCATGCACCCTGCTACTTTTGCTACACCCCATTATGTTGTACGGAAATTTCCCCATTGCTCATTGGTCCATTCCGGCTCTCAGGGGACTCCAGCAATTTTTCATGAACAACAACAACAACAACAAACATAACAATAATCAAAAAATCCTTAGCTCTTTGTTGCTTCTTTTAAGGTCTTTTACATCCTTACCACTGTTCTTCTAGGATCACCAAACTGTGCTACTAATACCAGTCTCACAGGGTTCTGTGCTGGTATAGATAATGGATTCAACTCAGGCTCCCGGTGCATATCCATCATTCATCCCCATCCAAAGATTGCACAGTGGTACCTCAACAAACTCCCAGGTCTGTTGGTCAAACACAGAGTGCTAAGTGCCTCAACTCAGCTGTTTTGCTCCTATCTGTTGTTCTTGAGAGCCCACTGCTATTTGTTTTGTAATTAAAATGCAATATTTTCAAAACGATTGCAGATGCTAACTTCCAAAGCAGAGGTTCTTTTAAACAATTATTTGAGAACTTCTTGTTTTTTTTTTTTTGAGAACTTCTTGGGTTTTTTTTTGAGAACTTCTTGTTTTTACAAACTGTTTAGTTCATATCTAAAGTAGCCTAAGTAGACTTCTCCATTTCCCTAAGAGAGTTTTCCTCCATAACTTCATGTTGCTTTCTTTTCTTTTTTTCTTTTTTCTTTTTCCTTTGCAGATGGAGACTGGAAGGTGACTGTTGTCACTGGGGAACTTGAAAATGCTGGCACCACGGCAACAGTATCCCTTTATGTCTATGGAGAAACAAGATGTTCAGGGCCTATTATTTTGGGATCTGGGAAACACCAGCTGTTTAGTTCCAACAGTGCAGATATGTTCAAGGTAAGACTAACATGACTCTAACTTGTTTGCTGAGATGTATTATGGTATACATTCCCTAGGATGCACCAAGAAAGACTTTGTTCTATTGACCTTGCATTTGCCATATATATTTGTTATATGGGAAACTTTCTATCCTAAGGGAGTTAGGAAACAGTAGTAATCATAGAAATATAAGATTTCAGTCCATTTTATTTGTATACAGAAGCAAAAAGCACCCAAACTTTGGAAAGTTCAAAATTTAGAGTGGAAAAATTTACTATTCGAATTACCAACAAGCTGAGCTTTTATATTTATTTATCTATCTATCTATCTATCTATTTATTTATTTATTTATTTATTTATTTATTTATTTATTCATGGTGCTGGGGATTGAACTCAGGGACTTGTGCATGTGAGGCAAGTGCTCTACCAACTGAGCTCTATCCCCAGCCCTAAGCTGAGTATTTTTGTTTGTGAATGTCCATCCAAGATTTTGTTTGAATGCTTACATACTTCACACAAGCACCTTTATGTAGATGATGGGTTCGTGATGGTGTGATGAGAGGAGATGGTGCAGCCCACAATGACCACAGGAACTAAGCTGTCCCATGACCAATATTTAAATGCTGACTTGGCTGTTTTTAAGCGTGGTGAGCTGGACACGTTAACCTTTTTTTGCCTCTGTTTCCTCAATCATTTTTCCCTTAAAAGGTTATCATGAAGGCTCAATGAAGTAATCCTTATTGTAGTTCCTGAAGTGTTTAATGAATGATCACCACTAATATCATAATACATATGCAATTTTGTATCACTCCTTTCTACGTGTTACCATTTATATAAGAAGCCACAAGTCTTCTTGATTATAAATTTCCCACTTATTAAATACTAGTTGTACACCATCTATACGGAATACTTTGCTATTGTTGAATACTTAAAAAAAACTTCTAGGCTTTTGCTATTATAAATAATACTAATGAATATACTTTGAACCTTAACTTTCTTCTTTATTAACCAAAGCTATTTTATTTTCTTAGGACAAATCCTGAGCAGCAGGATTACTCTTGATTCATTTTTACAAATTACTTTTTAAAAGTATCTGCTTTACATAGCACCATGCCAACCAGGACACAGGGAAAAATGGATGAATCTTAGTTGTTACTAATCATGACTACACACCAAATTATGGTCTATTCCTGCCATATGTAGTATTTAATATCTTGCAGTTAAAATTTCTCACCTCCCCTGAAAGTCATGTTACGTGAATGACTCTGTGGAAGTTATCTTAGCTCTAATCTTTTTGTTAAAAGAGCTTTGCTGAGATATAATTCAGATGCCATACATTCACCCATTTAAGTGTACAATTAATGATGTTCAGTAAACTTACAGATATATACAACAACCTCCACAATTCACCCCAAAAGAAAGCTCATTGGCAAGAACTCTAACTCTCCAGCCCCCAGCTTAAGGAAACCATTGTTCTGCTCTCTGTTTCTATAAGTTTGCCTGTTCTGGACATTTCATAGAAATGGATTCATACAACATGGGGTCTTTATTGTCTGTCTGACTTAGCATAATGGCATTTTTTTCTGATTAGTTATCCATGACAGTAGAATGCATTTTGACACACCATACATAAATGGAGTATAACTTCTCATTCTTCTGGTTGTACATGGTGTAGAATTACATGGGTCATGTAATCATATATACACATAGGGTAATAATGACTGATTCATTTCATTGTATTTACTACTCCCATACACCTCCCCTCCCTTCAATTCCCTCTGTCTATTCCAAAGTGCCCCTATTCTTTCCTAGCCCCTGCTTATTATGTTTTAGCGTCTGAATATCAGAGAAAACATTCTGCCTTTGGTTCTTTGGGATTAGCTTATTTCACTTAGTATGATAGTCTCCAGCTCCATTCATTTACCAGCAAATAATAATTTTATTCTTCTTTAAGGTAGAGTAATATTCCATTGTGTGTATACATACCACATTGTCTTTATCCATTCATCTGTTGAAGGGCACTTCCATAGTTTACCTCTTGTGAATTGAGCTGCTATGAACATTATTATGGCTGCATCACTATATTATGCTGATTTCATGTCCTTTGGGTATATGCAAAGGAGTGGGATAACTGGGTCACATGGTGGTTCCATTCCAAGTTTTCTGAGCAATCTCCATACTGCTTTCCAGAGTGGTTGCACCGATTTGCAGCCCCACCAGCAATGTATGAGTGTAACTTTTTCCCCACATCCTCGCCAACATTTATTGTTGCTTGTATTTTTGATAATTGCCACTCTGACTAGAGTGAGGTGAAATCTCAGTGTAGTTTTGATTTGCTTTTCTCTAATTACTAGAGATGTTGAATATTTTTTCATATATTTGTTAATCAATTATATTTTTTCTTCTGTGAAGAGTCTGTTTAGTTCCTTTGCCCATTTATTGATTGGGTTATTTGTTTTTTTGGTGTTAAGTTTTATGAGTTCTTTATATATCCTAGAGATTAATGCTGTATATCAGGTGCATGTGGTAAACATTTACTTCCATTCTGTTAGGCTGTCTCTTCATGTTATTGAGCATAATGGTTTAAAGTTTTAACCCAGGTTATAGCATGTATCAATACCTCAGTCCTTTTCATGACTGAATAATATTCCATTATGTGACTGTATCACACTTTTTCCAGTCACCCACTAGATGACAGACATTTGGGTCATTTTCACTTTTTAGCTATTATGAATAGTACTATGATAAATATCCCAGTATATGTTTTTGTGTAGACCTGTGCTATCATATCATTTGGTTTTATATTTAGGAGTATAAATGCTGGATTGTGGAAAATATATGTTCAGCATTTTGGGGAATTTCCAAACAGTTTTCCAAGGCAGTTGCACCATATTTTCATTCCCACCAGCATTGTGAGAGGTTTCCTTTTTTCACATTCCCACCACCATTCATTATTGTCTTTTATTAAAAGTGCTGACCCAGGCTGATGCATGAGCATTGTGAGTTCAAAGCCAGCCTCTACAAAAACAAGGCACTAAGCAACTCATTGAGACCCTGTCTCTAAATAAAATGCATAATATAAAACAGGGCTGGAGATGTGACTCAGTGGTCAAATGCCCCTGAGTTCAATCCCCAGTACCAAAAAAAAAATGCTATCCCAGTGAGTGAGTGGGTATGAAGTAGTATTTCATTGGGTTTTTGACATACATTTTCTTAGTGACTAAAGATCATATGGCAGAACATCCGGAGAGAGCAGGCAGAGAGGAGTTCTGGAGATCAGGGGCTGAACATCTTTCAGCTGTTCACTTTTGAATCTTATCCACTAGCTGACACAGACTAGACACTAAGGAACATCTTTTAAAAGCTTGAATATTTAATGAAATTTTCTTGTCTAAAATTTGTTTAATATTCGCTTCTTTGTCTTGGGGCATTTATTGCTGAATTTCTCTTGTGATAATTCTTACCCTGGAGGTATCACAAAGGCATTCCATGTATCTTTTGTGGTTAATATTTGCATACAAAGCTTCCTAGAGATTTCTGGGGGGGGGTTATTGTATTTTTGCAAACAGAAAAACTAAATAGTGCTCTTTATAGCTTGAAAAAAGTTAGAGCCCATGCTACTACTCTTAGGAAGTAGTTTCTTATCTCTGGTTTACCACTGTATGAAGTCAATTAATTTTGTAGATGATAAATTATACTCCATGTGCGTCAAATATGGCAAAATACGCTGTACTGTCATGTATATCTAAAAAGAACAAATAAAATAAATAAAACAATTTGTAGATGAGCAGGTTTAATATTAATTATGAGCTCCGACAGCATTGCACAATAATTTAATTATACAGTCTGTTCCTTGGAATATTCTGAAGAATACAATATGCCTTTTTAAACACAATGTATATCAGCAACAATTAGAAGCCCTGTATTTGAGTTCTTACTCTGCATTTTGCTCTGTGAGGAAACGTGTGTAAACCACTCCACTTTTTCCAAGCTTTAATTTCCTCCTTTGTAAAATGGGTACAAGAATACCTTGTAATATTATCGTGAAGATGGAAAGAGTTAAACATTAAAACACTTTAAAGTATAAAACATTCTTATCTTTATATTGAGACTGACTCTTCTGATAACTGCCCACAAATGGGGGTAGGCTTCCTGATGGGGTGGGATTTAAGGCAATGTTTCAGATGAATGAAGGCAGGAAAGCAGCATTGGCAGATGGTTGGTAGGTGTCGAGTGCTGGCACGGGGGTCTGTGTAGAAATATCTGGAGGCTGAAGTAGGAGGAAGGAAGAGAGGGAGCCAAGACTGTCTTGCTCTAGCCCGTCAGTGAGTATGTGCGTGATATCAGGAACATTCATCTTGGGCCTTTTCAATGTTTAAAGGTCAGATGTCCATGTGTACCTACAAATTATTAGCCATTAGCTAAATGAATATCAGCATGTCACGGGATTTGGGCACAACTCCATGATTTTCACATTTGTCTCTTTTCTCCTCTTTAAAAAAATAATCTTCTCCTGCTTTAAATTTTCTTTCCCTATTTTTTTTTTTTTT